TACATATTAATAGGCATTGCATATAAGAATATCACATTCTTTAGAATGCTGACTTACCACTTGCACTGTTCCGACTTTAGGTATGTGATACCCCTTTTTTGAATAAGTTTCCAAGTTGATGTGACCCTGTTCAAATATAAAAAATATTAATATTAAATATAAACATAACATTCAAATTTATAAGAAAATTAAAATAAAGTTGTAATTTTAATTTTTTTTTTTTTTTGACTGTATTGTCATATACATGTAAAAGAAAATACAGAAACTTTAGGTTTGTTATTTTTTTGTGATCTCTCCTAATCCCTGATCCGGAAACCATTTACACAAAATCCTTAGTAGGTTACTTGCTACTTTCCTCTGTCCTTCAACGTCCTGTGAGTGTTAAATTCTCCAAGCCCTCTTTACAATTGACGTTTAGTCCTTTCTTCTCACTCCATGTGCTGTGTGCCTTTAGGATATGGGCTATAATTGCTCTCCACAGCTTCCTATCTCTTGTGGTCCTTTGCAGACTTTCTACCTCTGCCAAACTTTCTTCCCACAATCCATTCATACAAGCTCGTCAGATAGGTGGCCCACTGCTTTCCTCTATCTCTCTTGACCTTGATATGCCCTGTGAAGGTTGAGTTCTCCAAGCCTTCATTTTATGTCCAAAAAACTTTAGTTGTCTGTATTTGATTCTGAATATAAGTTTTGTTAGCATTTTGTTTAAGACTTCCACATTGCTTACTCGCACAGTCCATGGTATTCTCAGCATCCTTCTGTAGAACAACATTTCTGTTTCTCCTAATGTGTGAGAAGATTGTCCAGAATTCACTGCCATATGAGAGGATTGATGTCACATAGCATTCAGCACTCTTCTCTTTGTTTCTAATGAACTTTTCCTATTTCATAATACTTTGTTTAGCTTTTGGAAGGCATCTTTTGCTAATCCAAATTGTGTTTGGATTTCAGTGTTGGATTTTCCATCTTTTGTTAAAACACTTCCGATATTTAAACTTTTTGTTTCCTGTTGACATCGCCAATTCATAGTTCACAACTCGGGGTTTTACTCTTGCTGACGACCATACATTATCTCTTTTTACTGTTGATGGTTAGTCCTTTCTTCTCCCTTTCCTGTACTACCTTGTCTAGAAGGTCTTATAGTTTTCTTTCTGTATCTGCCATCATCAACACAATGTCATCAGCATATCTCATATTGTTAAGATTGACCCCCCCCCCTCTGATAATAAATCCTGGTAGGGTCTCCAGCACCCTTAGGATAGCCTCACTGTACAGGTTGAACAAGTTTGAAGCAAAGACACATCCTTGTCTTACACTCCTTTCTATTTTTGGGTCACTACTTAATTCATTTCCTATTCGTATTCTCTCCCAGTACAAGTTCTGGATTAATCTAACATTCTTTCCAAATAGACAGAGTTTTCTTAACAGTTCAAATAGAACTTTGTGTTATACCTGATCAAATGCCTAAAACACTTGAGCACATCCTTCTGCCTCTGTATTTCTCTCTGATATTCTAATCATAAATATTGTATTTCTTGTTCCAGTGTCCTTAACAAAACTGTACAATTCTTGTCTTTTTTTTTCAGTCTAATTCGGCTTCACTCACTATTCATCAAAGTTCGGCTCATTAAACTGATTGTCCGATGTAACTCACATTCATTTAGATCTCTACTTTCTACATTCACAAATTTGCAATGAATGCACCAAAAGAAACTTGTTTTGAACTGGACCAATAAGAAACAGGAATTTCTTAACATTCACTGCTGAAATTAGTGCCATGACATAAGGTAACATTTTAACAAGGCTAGTCTGGTTGGCCATTACTACTGGGTAGTGACTTTGATCATCAATTGTTAACCATACAAAATGAGACATTAAATAGCTCAACAAGAGTTGACATTGTAAAATCAACCAACCAACAATTAGAAGTACATGGTGGAAGAAAGTTTGTTTTAAAAAAATATTAATCAGAATCTATTTGAACCCAAAATAACCCTCGTAAGTAAGATTTAGTAAATTCCTTTCACTACCCCAGTTCTCATCCCTGGGGAAGTTGTATTGACAAGATTAATGTATTTGCCAAAAAATGCAAACCTGGCTGAGTTTGGAAAGCGCTTATTTAGCAGGCTACTCAACCAAATTTATACTGATTCTTACAAAAAAAGTCTTAGCTTAGAATCTGGTCAGAGCTACTTTTAGAGTGAGTATGTCTGTTTGAAGGTATTTTCCTCTACTTTGAGTGGCTCTTGGGCCTTGTATTGGGTGAACATTATTAAAATAAAAAATTGAAAAAAATAAAAATTCTGAATCCAAAACTGGTTAGATATAGGGCTAGTAAGTCCATTTCATAAAAACCTACTTTAAAATACAGCAGGTTGTGGTCCAATGCTCTGCAGACGAGTTTAATAGAAGCTTTATTTAATTGGAGTAGATAGGTTTGTCTATCGCCTAGATCAGACTGTTCTTTTGAACAGGAGTAGAGGCTTATCCCTGGTTTCTT